TAAAGAACTACGAAACCAAACTCGCTACGGGCTTTCTGAAACACCTACACTCCCCGCGGGAAAGAGGAGAGTAGCGCCCCTGGCCTGTGTCACATATATATCCCCAGGTAGGTCATACTCCGATCCGGGCGGGGCAAGCACGCAACACGCAACCCCATTGGGCGGGAGAGGAACCAGCCAACCAGCGGGTGAAAATTGAAATTTTGGCATTCGTCGCAACTTTGCGCATGAAGAACGCCCATGGTAGAAAAAGGGCCGGAGAAAAGAAGCGGTCAAAGAACGGAAGACCAACCGAAGAACACAGCACAGCGATATGCCGGTGTTACCCCGTCCCCTCCCTGACATCCCCCGCCATATTGCTCGCTCTCTTTGGCTTCAACCAACGAGCGACCCGCAGAACGCCCACCACGTGATGATGGCAAAGACCAACAACACCCGCCATGCTCCCTGACAGTGAGGGGATATGGGATACATTTTGCCGTATATACAGGATCCGGCTCTGGTTGCCCGTTGTCAGCAATAAACCCGGGACACGTGTTGTGTGTTGAAATATATCGCGTTGGTTTTTCATGTCTTCCGTGGTCAGAAGAAAGGATGAGGGCTTGGATGCTGCTGCTACTCTTCGTGCTCCTCGCCTTCGGAGCACACGGCCAGGTCAACGGGCCTACCAACGCCACCCCAGAGGACAAGTGCTGCTCTGCTCTGCTGGTGGAGGGCGAGGCCGCCTCGCTCGATGCCTCTGGGAAATACCGCCTACCGACTCCCTGGTGAGAGATTGAATTGATTGCCCCGCTCAGTTGGTCCCGCAGGTGATGTGCCTAGAGAAAAATTTCATGCGGTAGCCCTTGGGTAGACCGTTCACTTTTTTCTGCATGTAGAGATGTAGGGCGTCGTGTCTGCCGCGCCCTGTCGAACCATCCGTCAGTACATTCTGATGCAGTCCATAATATGACATGTTCTACACTGTAGACTACTGTCCGCGTTGTTCCCTGCGGATGTCGCATGCATCACATCTACAGCGGTGGAGAACCTGCCGTGGCGTGCCCCAAGCTCGGTTTCAACGCGGCGGCAATCCATGACGACGCCATGACCGCCAGCTGGCTCGCTTTCCAGCAGCAATCGGGCCTCCGTGCCGCCGAATCCTGCCCACCAACCGAGTGGGAGGATAGATGCCCGCCCGGGGCGACCATGCTTCTGGTGGAGAAGAGGAGGGGCGGGTGCCGCGCGGCTGGCTGCATTGCGGCGGGCGGCGAGCTCAACGACGTGAGAGGTTTTCAACTTTTTTCCTTGCCCATGTTGGGTAGACATTATTATACGGCATATAGTCTTTAGACTCAGCAGTAGTATTTGAGCATTTTTCGTTTTTTCTCGCCCTGCTACGCCTACATGTTTGGACGTTGCAGATGCTTGTGTGGTGGGTGCCACGTGTAGATACGAGTGTACTACACTAGGCCTCCATAGCCGTCAACGCCTGACGCTCAGTGTCTGCGTGACGACACGTTGTCACCACCCTCAAGAAATGCTGGGTTTTGCTCCTTGCACCGCAAGAAAAAACATTTCAAGTCACAGCAGCCGCAGCAAATCACTAAATATACCATGATTGCCGAAGGATATTTGTCAGCAGGTGTTTCACCCGTTGCCCGTTCAACTCTGTGATGATTGTGAATTGGTTGTGCGGAAGTTGAACGGACGAACGGACATTCAGTTTGCAGGAGCGAAAATGTAGACGGCTCAGCCTTTCCGCTCGCTGTGCTGGTTTGCTATGCGCTGGTTGACCACGGGCAGAACAACGAAGATGATGAATGGGAGATCCTGCGGGCGGTCACGGCCCAACAAACCGCCCTCCTTCAGGCCGCGAAGCCCACTTTGCCGAAGACGTTCTATCAGCACGTCGCGGGCCAGCAGCGAGCGTATACCAAGGCGAGTGAAATTGTAGATAACAGAAGACGGGAAAAATGGTCGGCACATGTGTTTGCATACATGATTACGAAGAACTTGTTCGGCTCCAGAAATAAACTCCGTAAGTCAGTCGAATACTTGTCGTACGATGTTCGATATTTCACTCATCCTTTTGTGGTGTCTGGCTCTCTCACCGGAGAGATACTGCTGTAGGTGCGGCNTGGTGTCTGGCTCTCTCACCGGAGAGATACTGCTGTAGGTGCGGCTGTTGTTTTTTGTTGTTTTTTGGAAAGTGCAGTTAATTCGCCTTGTCCTCCACATTCAGTGGTCACACCGAGGGTGTACTGTCGATTTACTTCCGTTCGCAGCTTCGCAGCATGCAATAGCTTTACGAACTTGATCGTTGGTACCACCGGAATTCATTTTTTGTTGCGAAAAAAACATCAAGATCTACTTAACCTCTGTATATTCTAGACTAGTCTAGACTAGGCATCGTAGAGCAGGAAATTTTGAATTCGAAATTCGAATCGTGTACTTTAATGATGTGCTGTCATCCGCTAGATTATCGTGATGTCAAACGACACCCTGCGCCATGTTCCCTGTGAAGGCCACATTCTAACATTAAATTAAGAATGTATCCGCCTATCTATACAGACAGATGCTTTTGTTCCTAGCTCCAACTGGCATTGCTGATATCTCAGTGTTAGACTTACACAAACTCAAGGACTTCACAACATCCCTTTCGACTGAGGTTAGTCTATATCTCGAACGAGCAGTCTTTCTGTGAGCTTCTGTTTACTTCCTAAAAACATGATCACTGATGCACGTGGGGTGGCTTTTCCCGCAACTTGAGGGAGTGTCTCCGAATCGAATCCGAACGAAACCCTCCCAGCAGGGGAATTGTCCACAGTGTACAGCAGTGTAGTATTTTCCTCATCTTTTCCCCCTGTACACATGTTCGTCGAATAGACTACACGCCATTGTTGTGGTTGCTGCACCTGCTGTGACATTGAAAAAACAACTCC